TGGTCTTGCAATGTTTTAAAATTTATATTACCAGTGCTTCTTTTTTCTTTCGGTGGAAAGTATAGCACTTTATTTCAATCATAACGGAAAACTATAGTATATGAGAGCAATTTTTTTTGTATCAACATGCTATGTTAGTGATGGCAGAAACAAGTAAATAATCATTTTAAGGAATTCAAAAATGGCAATCGTGTGCATACTATTGCCGTGAACATGAAATCCATTAATAAAAAAAGAAGTGCAGGCGAAATATAATATCCCTCGCTATCATTCTTTCAGAGACTTGCAAATTAGATACGCCATAATGGAAGACCCAGATAAGAACCTAGGCGGATAACTCCACCCAATCATAGACTTGTGAGAAGTGCCGAAGGCCAAATATAGACTGTCAGAGGTCTACCGCCTGTTAGGCGGTGAATGAGCCTGCACCAGACCAGTGACCAAGAATCTCTCGAACAGGTGTTTGTCCGATGACGTCCCTTCACAGAAGTGGACATAAATCTGGCAAGCCCCACGATCTGGACCAAGATTGCTGCCACTGAGGCTTATTCAGTTAATATGTATGCACGGCACCTATATGAATAATGAAAGAAGAAGGAAATTCATGGAGGTCTCCCCAGATGTCCCCCGGGTATGGTTCAGTTTCCCCCCCCCCCCCCCGAATACAGTTTTTTTTGGTTTAGATCGCGTAAATATATGTGTCCTTAAACTCGCCACCACCCGACACAGCCAATTAGTAAGGTTTGTCATGTAAACAGAATATGCCAATTCGTACGATTTCATCCCGCATAATTTGAACTCTTCCCCTCCCCTCCACCAATGTCGATCGGTGTATTTTATCGGGCTCGCGTTTTGTCGCAATAAGAACATGAAAACAAGAAATTAATCAGCAAAATCCAGATTCTGATCACGAACATAATGTGTTCATGGAATTTTCCATTACGCAACAGAATATTTTGCGTTTAAAATGATTTGTGTATAGGGAGTGGTGGAGCAGTGGTTTTCTCTCTGCGGTATGAACTCGGCGACCTGAGTTTGATTACCTTCCATGGTTAACATCAGTGGCGAGTTATTTCCAGAAAGGGTAAACCTATTGTTATATTTCATCGCTAAATAGCAAACCAGTTCTGGCCCTTCTTCACTAATCCACACTGACCCACAATATTGGTGTTGTATTGATTTTTACCAGATAACCTTTTTAACACGTAGGCTTTCGCGACCAATATTATTATTATTTATGTAGTGCTCTATTTAAAAGGTTTTAAATTACAGGACCACAACCCCTAGATCTGCCTCTGCACTGAGCAATGGGGTGAAGTATGGTCAAACAACCAAAATTATCGATATGGTGTGGGGACTGGCGAGGCCTTTGTGTAACAGTGGATTTACAAAAGGCTGTAAAAAATATTCTGTTTATAATGCACAAAATACATATAAAGTAAGCTTTCGTGACTGCAGGGATTCATCTTCTTGGTTCTTTCGGTAAAGTCATGTAGAAGGGAGATAATAAAATAATAATAATAAAACATAATAAAATAATACAACTCTCAGTGAAATTCTCAGTGAGAATTGTATTATTTTATAATGTTTTATTTTTATTATCTCCCTTCTACGTGACTTTACCGAAAGAACCAAGAAGATATATATGTACCTTCACATAATTTACAAACCTTGCTGTGCAGTTAACACTTTGCCACAATTTATATTAGTTGTCTGTTTTAAAATTCCCCGTGCAGGTGCTTTGATTGTAAACTTCCAAAAAGGTGTTGACTGAGTGTGCTTAACCCCAAACTCCCTCTTATAATCACGTGCATATTCTGGAGGGAAGCTGGCTGGAGACACATAGATGTGCTAAATTTGACACCTTTGCTAATGAAAGCAGTTCTAGTAAAACATACACATTCATTCGACATCTGTGTTTTTGGCGCCTGTGTTGGGATTTCATTCCAGGTGGCCCCCCCTGGGTTTTTTTTTTACCGACACACTTTTAAGGTGTGATTGCAAATGGGGCTTGCTGTCTTTTGTCCCCTGGGACCATCTGCCAGCCGCGTGGCAGCGTGTGCTCGCAGGCGTGTCCTGGCGCCCCCGGGTTCATGTGAACAGCCCTCCCACGGCACACGCCGCTTTCAGAGTGCTGGGAATTCCACGCCCACCACTTGGACAATCTTACATCCCCCGCTGAGCAACGTAAAGCCCGTGTCGCCTTTGTTATTTCAAACGACCATTCATCCCATGCCAACGCGGAATTTCAGTAATTTATATGTTCATATATTTTTTTGCTAAATCCTGACATGCATGGTATGCCATTGGTGAAACAATAGTATCGTAATTGCAGTGTGGTTAACTTGCTATGCGTAACTTTAGATATCCTTGGAATTACGTTGAAAGGCAGAAAAAGGAACGCGTGGATTAGAGCGCATACGCAAGTTAAAAGACGTAATTATAACTGTTAAGAAACATAAGTGGGCTTGGGCAGACGCGTCATTAAAAGGAATGATGACCAAACATAATTGAGTTACAAGAGTAGGGATGGAACGGGTCTGAGAAGAGATGCACGGGGAGACAGAGTGATGACGTCAGCTCGTGTGCATGTGACCCGTGGATTGCTGTATCCCAGAATCGTAAGAGATGAAGATGGCTTATGGAGACCTTCATCCAGCAAAGGATCGATAATGGCTGATGGTAATTGACTTTAAAAGACGTTACAATTGATCAAGTTGGTCTTGATAATTTGATGAAGGCTAGAAATCCAAAATTATGAAATGGATGTCACCATTTTAAATAATAAGATAGCTTACATTGCAATGGACAGTGCAATGGAGAGGGGGCAAAAAAAATAAAAGAGAACAAGTTATCTGAAACTATGAAAAGAACGATGGAGAAGCGTAGTATAAAACAAATGGAATATGAACAACTCTGTCAAAACAATAGTAAAATAAAGAAATACATTAGAGAACACAACATAATTGAATGTCATAACACTCAATGGGCATAATCAAATTGTAAATGTTGTGGCTTCAACACACCGGTGGGCTAAAGCAGTGAACTATTTGTCTTTGTCAACGTGACACATTTTTACTGATTGGCCGTGTCGGGTGGTGGAGGGTTACGACACATTTATAAATAACGCGATCTAAACCCAAAAACGTTGATTATGAATAACATTGGTCGCGAAAGCCTACGTGTTAAACTCAATGGGCACATAAATGCAGCAAAAAGTACACGTGTTTGGTAAATTTCAGATAAAAGCCCTTTAAGGGAGATGGAACCATATTACAGTATTTCCTGAATGAAAGAAAATTGAGGGACATGACCTTTAAAACACAAGAAAGTATGTATATCTATGACATTTATTTAAGGTAGATTTTTATCAAAATAATGACAATTAGACCAGAGCGAGAGTCGAGTGCGGTGCTTTTGGAAATATTTTACTTGATAATGAAATGCAACATACCAATGTTCCTAAACAAGAGAGTGCTCAATCAGTATTACCTGCCATGACATATGACATAGAACATTTTAGACTCTGACAAAGAATATGGAACAAAATCTGGAAAAGTACACAAAGATGCATGAAAGAGATGCATCCTGGGAATTACACAGATACAGAAAAAAAACACATTGGTGAAATAACAAATGCAAATATCAGGCATCTTGGTGAATGTTAAGAATGTAAGTGGGCTTGAGCAATACACAATGGATGAGACTGGTGAGTGAAATGACAACCAAAGAAGGTACACGCCCAAGAGGTCGAAAACCATGGAGATGGAACAATGAGATCATCTCATACACAGGAGTCAAATAGACTGATATTGCAGGACTGTGAGAGATGGAGACCACAATCTTGAAAATTAGTGAGACATATTTGGGGATGGGTTCACTTACTCTTTTATCAGAACTTCTCAAGTATAAATATAATCGCGTTTTAATTTAAATTTGTGTCATACATGCAAATTACACATCTCAAAATGCTGCAGAATTTGTAACTAGCACAGTTTTTCGCACAGAGGCGTGGGAAACCACACACAAGCGCAAAGACAGTCAGTACTGGCGCGAACAACTGCCCAAGATTTGTGGTCCTATGTTGGAATGTTTGGCTAACTCTATTAATGCTCATTTATACATGTGGGAGGAATCAAAGAGCACTCGGAGAAAATATGTAATATATGTCTTTATACATGACATGGTTGAATATATTTTGTCAACCAACACTTTTAAATGTCATGTTCATTTTATATGCTGTTCAATGTGGTTAAGTGAAATGTTTTGTCTTTCCAAATACAACTGACTAACAAGCTAAAATAGTTCTATTATGTAAAACAATAATCCCTTTTCAACTCACATTGACTACTGTGCCAGTTTTTTGTTGTTGCTTTGTTTATTTTTTATTAACTTCTCTTTATTCCAGACAAAACTCAATGGTGCGGTATTGTGAGCTGAGAATGCAGTTGGGTGCAGGTTCCCGATTGGTTCAATGGGGAGTGCTCTCTGAAAGCTGTAACACCGGTCCTGAGCTCCCCCATTCACCAACCGCACTGACCGGTGTAGTGAAGAATGGTCGAGCAATTCCCATGACCAACAGATATACGTTTAGAAAATCTAATTATTTTATAACTGGTTGAAGGGACGATAATGGTCATGCTGCATCCTACATTATCAATTGTTTATGTGGGATTAAACTTGGTTATCAATCAAATACAATTGTGAATTGTAGTGATTAAAACATGACAGAATACGTTTTCCAGCCATTTTATAAATTTAACAATCCCTCAGCTCTTTAGTGATTGCCACTTTTGTATTAGACTACTCCAGGCAGTTACACTTTAAGACAAAAAATGAAAAATTACAAAACATCACCACAGATGTGACGAAATTAAACTGTGTTTTGCATAACAATTATACTAGGAGGTAATCGCGTTGTATTATGCATAACCATGAGAACAAGTCATTTGTAAATCAAATTTTAATGCAAAATATACACAGGTAATACTGCACAGTTTTCAATGCTACATTCACGAAACGCAGACAAATGACCTGGGGAACAGCATTCTCCGCGTTCATCACGGCGCTCATGCAGGGAGCACCTGACAGGCGCAGAGTGAAATGCCACAAACAGCCGTTACAATTGCATTTCCACGGGAAAAAAATAATCAATTCTCTGAAATAAATGGGTCACTTGCAGGATAATGAAATTGCCCTCCCATCAATTATGCATAATACAACCATACCAAGCATTAAAACTTTATCGTGTTAAAACAGTGCAATTTTTGGAGAAACACATTTGAACATGAAGGATTTTATGTGGTGTACTGTATTACATTATGTAAAATCCGGACACTTTCTATTCATAGAAGAAAAGTGTCAATTTTTTACATCAGACAATTTTGCCCAGTTTTAAGTGACCAGTTAATCACTCTAAAATATTATTGCAGAGTACTTTGCATTTGTTAATATAACATGAAACAACGATCAAACACAAAAAGCGGAAATTATTAATCACCATTATTAATGGAAACAAAATAATCTTCACAGAAGTTTACAATTTTCATAACGGTCACAAAAATGTCCAACATTAGTCCTTCGCTTTACAGTACAGCAATTCTTGTTCCAGCAGCAGATGTGAAAGAAAGTCGGATTGGAAAAAAAAAAATCTTCACCAAGGTCGCCACAGTTTCTGATGCTTCCTTGCAGCAAACCTCAACTGATCTCTGAATTCTGCTTCTGCGCCGCTGTCCCAGCCCGAGCCGTGGGGCCCCGGCGAGAAGGACTGCCGCTCTCTTGTGGACGCCACGTGGCCTCCAGCGCAGGCCCCCTTGACGTGGGCAGCGGAGTGCAGGGCGCCTGGCGTCTGCTGCTGCACCTTGCAGAGGTAGTTGATCGTCAGCTCCAGGATGTCTGCCTTCTCCAGTTTGGACGTTGATGCATGCTGCAAAAAACACATTAAAATGTTTTTAACATTTTGAAACGTATATTTTTCTCAGAGATAATATGGCATCCATCTGACTTTTCAGAGCACAAGATTAAAACTAAATGCATTTTAGGAGTAAAATCGCAATACAGTATATAAGTGTTCATATTACATTGACATGCTATGCCAAAAATGAGTTTTTAACTTTCAATTAAGGATTCAGCTGCCATGTTTATAGTGGATGTTATATAAACTAATTGCTCATTTAATGTTTTGCTGCATGCTGAAAATAGAAACAAACAAAAAACAGGTGGCGATAATTGTTTTGAGCTGTGTTATCCTGTGCATAGGCTAGTCCATGCCAGACGAATACGTGTATGGCATTTTCACCACTGACTTAGTACTGTGCAAAATTTTAATCCATGGCTGCTCACCTCATGCTGGCTGCTGTCCAGAACGATGCTTTTCAGGTGCTCCAGGAGGTTATTGATCCTGTCCCGTCTCTGCTTTTCCACGAGAGGTTTTCTGACCTGAAGAAAGAGAAGGAGAGGTTGAAGATACATTAAAATATTTGATATATATACCTCGTTGGAACACAAGCAGTTTATAAGAAATCACACAAGATGCGAAAAGTAAAATAAGTAGGTGTAGAGCAGGACTTACTTTGCGAGACTGCTGGCAAAAAAAGGTCTCCACAGCTGCCGTTGGCGCCATTAAGCTCTATTGCAGTCTTTCTGCCTTGATTCTATATTCTGCCTTGTACCTTTTTGAATGAGAGGAAGCAATGTACCCTGAGCCAGTCCTGAGCTGCTTTTATACTAAAGGCTGTGAGATGCTATCTTGCAGGTCTTTTGTGCGTCAGATTTTCCCACCACCAAGCCACCAATCAGGCCAGTGGGAACGCTTGGGCTTGGCCATGGCTATCATTGTGTTCTCTCGGTGGAACATCTGCCGATGCTGGCTACAGCGGTTGCGCGCATGTGGCCAGAGTGGGCCCCCACAAAAGCCTCTTAATTGCCAAATCCTTCTGCGCCATGTGGCCGGCCCGTGGGAAAGTAGCTCCCTGCAACTTGTAGGGAAATCATTCACCTTGCTTAATTGTTTTCGAGTGGTTTATGTGGGATTTTTTTGATAAAAACTGCTTTTAAAATGACAACTCATAATAGATTTTTTTGAAATGAAAAAATGCCATAAAGGTTTCACCAGCTCATCGTTGAAAATATCTAATTTGTAAATCCTTCCCGAACATGGCCAGTTGTCGGACTGTAAATGTAGACGCCCCGGTATGAAACCCGTTCACCCTGCAGCCCACGTTCACTGCCTTTTCCCCTTCTGAAAGTGCCGGTATGCACATTTGGGGTTTTGAGAATTAGCAACATGACACATTGTCGTATACAGCCACATATCGACCATTGAACATGACTCTCAATAACACAGTATAATTGGTGATTGAGAGACAGAATGAGGAATACATGGATTAGACAACAAATGCATGTTAGAAACATCCTTATTGACTTTTAGAAAAAGTGAGCTCGGCAGAGCACATTGTGAGCAATGATGACAGCCCGTGGTGAAGACTCGTGATAGAATGGCAGCCAAAGCAGATTACACACCTCAGTGAGTATCCACCATGGAGGTAGAGTGATGAAATCAATTTGTGTGCAGGTGCTAGATGGATTGCTACATTACAGAACTGTGAGAGATGGTTACAGCTTGGGGAGGATTTTATCTCGCAACGGATTGATCATGCCCATTATGATGCCATATCACGGATAACTGCCAGGTACAACACTCGTATTCTGGTGGAACAAGCGGACTCTGCTCAGATACCACCCCGGATTCCTTGGAATGGCTTACACAATTAGAATACAATCGTGGCATGTTGTTGTTCTTTTTCTTCAAACGCCATCGGAAAAAATATGGAGACAATGCCAGGTACATTCATCACTGTGTTGTGTGTATGTTCTGCAGCCGTCTGGAACGCTCTTCAATTCGATATTAGGAAGCCACTGGGGCTATGCACTTTTAAATCTAGATTGAACATGCATTTATTTAGAACGGCTTTTTATGTTTAGTTGTCCTTCCCCTGCACCTCTGATTAGCACGGTTGGCTACGTACGGTGCAAAAGAAGTTCAACATACATCCAAGCAGGTGACAATGTCAGGTACATGGCGGGTTTAACGGCACCTTTATATATTTACGCGATCTGTTATGGATTCCGCACCGTGTTGTGTGGATGTTGTAACATGGGACTCCGAATGAAAGTTTTCCCAGCACGCTTGCTTGGAATGTAGCAGAATTCAACATTTGCATGCCTTTGTGTCTCCCTTGGCCATCTGCTGGCCTTGCGGCTCTAGGTTCTCACGGCTGCGGTGCGGTGATTGCAGCAGGGAGGAGGAAATAAAAACATTCACGCCTCTGGGAACACCACGCCCACCCTCGGGTCGCAGGCAACCTCGTTCTCTTGCAGAGCCGCATAATACCCCCCGTGTCATTGTTATTGTCGAATGGCCCGCTTACGCAATGCCCAGACAGTCACACTTGTTTATTACTTCGTAGCTTGGTGAATGGTGAAAACGTGTTGCTTTTGTTTTTAAATCACAAACTGAGATTTTTTTTCTCTTTAATTTGTATGCATGACCTCATATGTTTGCAAGAAGTTAGAATCAACCGTTTACATTTTCCTGAGCTTGTGTATGTGTTGATTTGACAAATTCGAAAGAAATTGGCAGAAAAACATCTTGTCTGAGTCAAATGGAAGTTGCAGCCTCTCAGCAGAAGGGGATTTCTGCCTTTCGGATGCTCGCTGACGTTCTGAGTGTCACTGGGTGTTCTTACCTAATGGAATTGCTAAACAGGACCCCTGCCTTTCAGATTTCATCACGGAACAGGAGGAAAGGCTAGGTTGAATCCAGTTGGATGGGGAAGCACAGTTTGCGAAGCAATGCCGTAAGCAAGCAATTTGATGGATGCACCTTTATCGCTTGTAGTTTGTTTAAACACTTCCCGTCCAACCCAGCACAAATGTGGTGCTTCTACTGCTTCTACTAAAATTGCATTGGGTGTTAATGTAATATTGTATAGTGACTTAAAGAGCTATTCTAGCTTGAGGGGGGGTATAATTGTCTCTTTAATTACGATGTGCAAATATACCATAACCTTTACAGCACGGTAATTATACTTCATTGTGTGCTATTGTGTGCAGGACGATGTATCACATTCATTTATGTGGGTTTTTAAATTGATTTAACACTATGGTATTTTGATATTGTGTAGAGTACGATAATGTGATTTGTATACCCGTTGGCGCTTATTTCATGACTATCATGAATTCATCCACACGTTGCATGCGTCTGATTAACACGTCCAAAGCTGCCTATCGCTCGTTTTCCAATTAGTCTCGATGCAAAATTACCGCACCTTTTTATGCGAAACAAATTATCTTCATTCACGGCAATCCTAATGCATTTATTGAGAAACATAACTAATATATGAAGAAAGGCACTCATTTTAAGTGGAATGGTGGTACAGTGGCGCGGTGTTTTATTAACTTCCCCATGAACTCGGCGACCTGAATTCGATTCCCGGCCACAGTTGTCAGTGGCTAAGAGTGATATATGAACTGCACCTGGCCTCACCCTTCACTAACTCGCACTGACCAGCGTGGTGAAGCCTGATTAAACAACCCCCACGACCAACATAGTGTGGCAGAAGATTTTTTTCAGCAGTGGTTTGATAATGGGCTGTACATTTGTCGTTATTTTAACAATGCAGGATACATATATTGTATTGCATTCTATATATTGCATACAAACCATGTTTTTTTTAATTATTAATAAACATCGCCTCTGGGAGAACGGTGGTGGCATAATGGATTGTGCGCTGTGCTACGAACCTAGTTGCTTGAGTTGTATTAGTGGTGAGTGATATCTGAATCAACCGACACATTCCAGGATTTTATAATGTTGTATTTTTATTATTTTATTATTTCCCTTCTACGTGACTTTACCGAAAGAACCAAGAAGATGAATCCCTGCAGTCACGAAAGCTTTAAATCGAAACATTCCAGGATGTTTAAGTTTGGTAAAATAATTTCTGTGACCAACACGACATGGGGAGCAGGCTTCATCCAGCAGCGGATCGACAAAGGGGCTGGAAATGGTTGAAATGTATGTCAGCCTCACTTATTAGAGCAAAACAGTTATTTGGAAACCCAATGAATATCATTCTAGTCTGCAAGCAGCTTTCACTAAGTTTATCAGTTAAGACGTGAATTTATTCAGGACCAAGATGAGTGCTCTTTAGAAGTGTCTACTCATTATAATGACAATCGTGACCTTTTTCAGTGGCGATGCACCTCTTTCAAAAAGGTCATCACCATAAATGGGTGGCTGTAATAAACTGATTATGCAAAGGAAGATATTTTTCATTCTGTCATGTTATCAGATTCTCATTGGTCCCATTGAATGTGTGGCTGTCTGAAGACTATAAAATCAGGCAACCGTTTTGTATTATAATTTTTTACATTCTGCCGATGAGCCTCAGAGTCAAAACTGGCCCGGAATTTAATCTACTTATGCAAAATGCTGCTGGAAATGATTGATCTGTAAATCCAATTAGCTGCTGGTCTAAAATGTTCACGTAGTGGATATATGCCTGTTTATGAATTAATTAGTCATTTGGCCTTCATAGTTTAACTGGGAGATATTTTTAGGCCTATGTGTATTTTTGTGCATTTGCAAATAGTGGGGAAAACTGCTCATGCCAGTCATCTCAGACCTTGTGCCAGCGAGCCTTAGACACTTTACATGGCCTGAAAGCACACCTGGCCTGGCACAGGCGCCATGGTGATGTCACTGAGTGGTGAATGCCAGCTGTTTTTGTTATAGCAATAGCTACACCAAAAAGGCATCCTGTTCGTCCCCTATGAATCATAACATTCTCTGCTTTTTCATCTACTCCTGTTGCTATGGCAACTGGTGGAACCAGAGCTACGGAGAAGTGGGGGTATATGTGGTTTATGTGCGATCATATGGTGTTTTTTTACCATACTTTGTCACATTAGGTCAATGCCCGTGAGTGTGTGTTTGTCTTCAACTTTTAAATGTTACTTTCCATTGTACCAGATAATACTATACGAATTTAGGCGTAAAACAATGCTTTTTTTTCTTCATTGAAGTATTTATTGGAACATAAAAATGGTTTTCCAACATCCACAGAATATTGTGTGTAACACAAAACCAAGATGAATGAGTTTGCAGAAATTCCACTTTGTACAACATTCATCGCTTGCACTCACAGAGTGCACACGTGCATCCATTCACAGGTGCTGTACATTGTACAACACACTCGCAATGTATATGACATTTCCATTGGAAATAACAGATATGAAATACTCATAGCTACAAAATTCTCATAAAAAATTTTACTTTGCAATTTCTTTGTTTACGTAAAAAGAAATTAGTAATAGCAGAACTCACTACCTTTGAATTGTTTGAACTTCTGGGTGTGAAACGTGATATGTTTATCAGCGGATTAATAATTAAATTATTAGTGTGACGTGTTCTACTTATAAAGTTAGGTAAACACGTCAGCGTAAGGCACAATAACTGTCAATTCGAGCAAATGAAACAACTCAAAAGCCACAACAGATGGCTACACAATTCTTCATAGAAGGAACGATGTTTAGTTACTCAAATCATTGTATCAATGAAACACCTATAAAATATAACATGTACATGTTTAGATCCACAGGACCGAACAAATGAAATCAAATGTGATTTTTA